TTTCATTCTTTTCATCCCTTCTTTCCTCCTGCAACACCCAATATATGTATGTTGGTCTGCTTGGTGGGTGCCTTAGGCTGTGTTCACCTTCCTTCCCCCTTTTTATTTCTTCTCTGAGACTTAACACTGTATATTGTCTTCTCTTCAGATTTCTTTGTAGAGAAGATTCTTTGTGCTGCATGCTCAAATCTGCTGTTGAACTCTTCTAGTGAATTTTTAATTTAAGTTATTGCTCTTTTTGGCTCCACAAATTCTATTTGATTTCCTTTTGGGTCATTGTAACATTTTTTAACTGTACCAGTTAGTGTTAAGTATTTCCTAATTGTTGTGAAACAGATTTCTAGAAGTTTTTCATGTTGTGTATATGAAACTTTTTACCCATTAAACAACTTCACTTTTCCCCTTTCTCCAGCCCGTAGTAACTAACATTTTACTCTGTTTCTGTGAATTTGACTACTTTAGTTACCCCATATAAGTGAAATCATTCAATATTTGTCTTTTTGCAACTGGGTTATTTCCCATAGCATAATGTTCTCAAGGTTTATCTATGTTGTAGCATTTTCTTCCTGTTTAAGTCTGAATAATACACCATTGGAAATATATGCCACACTTTCTTTATCCATTTATCTGTCAGTGGACACTTGTGTTTCTTCCACATCTTGTTATTGTAGATAGTATTGCTTTGAACGTGAGTGTGCAAATATTACTTTAAAAGCTACTTTCAATTCTTTTGAATATATATGCAGTAATGGGAGTTCTGGTTCATACAGTAGTTCTGTTTTTGATTTTTGGAAGAACCACTATACTGTTTTCCATAGTAGTTGCGCTGTTTTACATCCCAGAAACAATGCACAAGGCTTAGTGCACATGCCTGCCATGGTGCTGTTTTTTTTTTGTGTTTATTTTTTTGTGTTTTTTTTTTTTAAATTTTGATAGTAGCAGCCATTCTAATAGGTATGAGGTGATATCTTAGTGTGGTTTTGATTTGCATTTCTCTCATTATTAGAGATATTAAGCATCACTTTATATATGCTTTTGACCATATGTATATGAGCTTTGCAAAAATGTCTATGTGGGTCTTTTGCCCATTTAAAGCATTGTATTATTTGTTTCTTTTGCTTTTTGAATTGTAGGAGTTATTAATTAATTAATTTTTTTTGAGACAGAGTCTCACTGAGTCACCCTAGGGTTGAGTGCCATGGCATCATAGCTCATAGCAGCCTCAAATTTGGGGGTGATTCTCTTGCCTCAGCCTCCTGAGTAGCTGGGACTATAGGCACCTGCCACAATTCTTAGCTATATATATGTATATATATATATTTTTTTCTATTTTTAGTAGAGATGGTGTCTCTCTCTTGCTTAGGCTGATCTCCAGCTTCTGAGGTCAAGAAATACACCCACCTTAGCCTCTTAGAGTCCTGGGATGACAGGCACAGGCCACCATGCCTGGCCTGAGTTATTTATTCTTGATTCAACCTTTGAAAACTTTTATTCAATTTTTAAAAAGTTTTAGAATTTTATAGGGTACGCATGTTTTGGTTACATAATTTGCTTTTGTGCATTTTAAGTCAAAGTTATGTGTGCCATTCACCCAGAATGTGTACAGTGTGTATCATACCAGTTAGGTGTGAATTAATGAACCCCTCTTCCCCCTCTCGTCTACTTGATTTCCCATTGAGTTTTACTTCCATATGTGCACCTAAGTGTTAACTGACTAGTTTTAATTTAGTACTAAGTACCTGTGGTGTTTGTTTTTCCATTCTTGTGATACTTCACTTAAGAGAATAGTATCCAGTCCTATCCAGATTGTTACAAAAGATACTAGGTCACCATTTCTTTTTATGATTGAGTAGTTCGTTATATATATATATATATATATATATATCACATTTTATTAATCCACTAATGTACTGATGGAAACTTGTTTTTTTCCTACATTGCAGTTGTGAATTAATGCTGCGATAAACCTACAAGTGCAAGTATCTTTTTGATAAAATTTCTAACTTTTGGGTAAATGCCTATACTGGGATTGCTACATCAAGTGGTAGGTCTACTTTTAGTTCTCTGAGGTATCAATATGTATTCCATGGTGATTGTAAGAGTTTGCAGTCCACCAATTGTATACAAGTGTTCCTTTCTATTGGCATCCACACCAGCATTTGTTGTTTTGGGGCTTTTTTTTTTTTTTTTTGAGATGGAGCCTCAAGCTATCCCCCTGGGTAGAGTGCCATGGCATCATGCTCACAGCAACCTCCAACTCCTGGCCTCAAGCGAGTCTCCTGCCTTAGCCTCCCAAGTAGCTAGGACTACAGGTGCCCACCACAATGCCCGGCCATTTTTTGGTTGCGGCCATTGTTGTTGTTTGGCGGCCCGGGCTGGGGATTTGAACCCGCCACCTTAGGTGTATGTGGCTGGCGCCTTAGCCGCTTGAGCCACAGGCGCTGAGCCTGTTTTGAGGCTTTTTGATAAGGGCCATTCTCACTGGAGTTAGATGATCCCTCACTGTGGTTTCGATTTGGATTTCCCTGATGATTAGAGATATTGAGCATTTTCACTGTTTGTTGGCCATTGGATTGTATTCATTTGAGAAGTTCCTGTTGATGTCTTTTGCCCACTTTTTAATGGGATTATTTGATTTTTTTCTTGCTTATGTGCTTGAGTTCTTTATTAGCAGCCCTTTATCAGATGTCTAGCATGTAAATGCTTTCTCCCATTCTATTGTTTGTCTATTTACTCTCTTGATTGTGTTGTTGGCTGTGCAGAAATATTTTTAAAAAGGTCTCATTTGTTTATTTTTGTTGTTGCTATGACTGCTTTTGGGGTTGTCTTCATAAATTCTTTGCCTCAGGCTCATATCTATAAGAGTTTTTCTAAAACTTTCTTCTAGAATTCTTATAGTTTTATGCCTTAGGTCTAAGTGCTTTATCCATCATGAATTAATTTTTGTGAGTGGTGAGAGGTGTGGATCCTATTTTAGTCTGTTACATGTGGCTATCCAGTTTTCCAAGAACCATTTATTGATTTGGGATTATTTTCCCCAGTGTGTATCTTTATCTACTTTGTAAAAATCAAGTGTAAATATGAGGATGGTTTCGTTGCTGGGTTCTCTGTTGTGATCCATAAATTTATGTCTGTTTTTGCACTGGTATCTAGGGATTAGGGCTATGGATTAGGGATAGACTACAGCTAGGGCTAAGGCTGGGTGTGGGCTAGGACTAAGGCTAGTGATTAGAGGTAGGGATTATAGATGGGCTGCAGCTGGGACTAGGGCTTGGGTGTGGGCAGGGCTATTGCTAGGTATTAAGGCTAGAGATTAGGGATATGCTGTAGCTGGGGCTAGGGATTAGGGATGGGCTAGGGCCATAGAATGGGCTAGGGATTAGGTCTAGGGATTATGGATGGGCTACATCTGGGGCAAGGGCTAAAATGTGGATTAGAGCAAGGCCTTAGGGATTAGGGAGGGACTTCAGCTGAGGCTACAGCTAAGATCTGGGCTATGGCTATGGCTAAGGATTAGGAATGGGCTATAGCTGTGTCTAGGGTGTGGACTAGGGCCAGGGACTGGGCTAGGATGTGGGATAGGGGTTAGGTCTAGGGATACAGGATGGGCTACAGCTAGGGCAAGGGCGAGGTTGTAGATTAGGGCTAGTAATTAGGGGCAGGCTACAAAAGGGGGAGGCTAGAGCTAAAATCTGGGCTAGGGCTTAGGGCTAGGGCTTAGGGATGGGATATAGCAGGGGCTAGGGCTTGAGTGTGGGCTAGGCAGCTGCAGAAAACTACTACAATTTTTATATCTATAAAGTCTATAATCAGGTCACTGATCTTTTCTTATTTTTGACAATTTTGTCTTATATTTTGTCCTAAAATTTTATTAATCTTACCCAATCTTCTCAAATAAGCAGGTTTGGGTATCATTGCTCTTTTCTAATATTTTTTCATTTCCTATTTCATGGATTCCTGCTCTATTCTTTATTATTTCTTCTACTTATTCTGGTTTTTGTTTACCCACTTAAAAATAGTAACGAAACTATTTAAACAAAACTTTGTGAAAGAAGATTAAGGGATAGCAAATAAGTACATGAAAACATGTTCACTATCATTAGTCACTAGAGAAATGCAGTTTGAAACCACAATAAGATACCAGTTTATACCCATGGGAATGTTTAAAATAAAAGAAATCTGACTAAATCTTGATGGAGATGTGGAAGAACTAGTATTTTCATACACTGCAGGTACAACCATTTTGAAAAATATTTTTACAGTTTCTTAAAACATAAATGTTCCATATAACATTCTATAATATTACCTTATATGATCCAGCCATCCCACTTGTAGGAATTTACCCAATGGAATTGCAAGTTAATGTACATGCAAAGTATTGTATATGAATAAATGTTCATGGCATGTTCATTTGACATAACCAAAAAAAGAGCAGGTAACAATCCAAATGTACATTAATAGGTAAATGGTATGTACCTGTAGCATATCCATATAATGGCATAGTATTTAACAGTAAAAAAGGAATGAACTATTGATCTGCACATATACATCAAAGGATCTTAAATTGATTATGCTGGATATTGATTTTTTCATCTAAATGATCTGTCCATGTATGACTGATAGAAAATCTGCACTTATAGGAAATATAGACAATGTAACTAATCTATAGTGAAAGAAAAGAGATGAAGGGTTTATGGGGAGTTGTGTGTGGGGTGACAAGAGGAACCAGAAAAAGGTACAAGAATTTGGGCCTGAATAAAGTCTTAGGGTGATGGGTATGTTTATTATCTTGATTGTAGTATTGGTTTCATGAGTAATACACATAAACCTAAATGGAAACTGTACTTTTTAAATATGCACAGTTTGTAGTGTATCAATTATCCTCAGGAAGCAAAAAGCAATCAGAAGATAAAAATGCAAAAAGCAATCAGAAGATAAAAATTTAATTCATATGTTAACAACTGAATTATATCTCTATGTCCATTTACTTATTTTTTCAGGATGGATTGCTATTCTGGGTGCCATCTGGTTGCTAATATTAGCTGATATTCATGATTTTGAGATAATTCTACACAGAGTGGAATGGGCAACTCTTCTGTTCTTTGCAGCACTCTTTGTTCTGATGGAGGTAAGACTTTAGAACTTTTGCAATATGATCCTTTACCTGATATTTATAGTTCATGTTTTATTTGGTGAATGAAGAAAGCCTGAGTGTGTAAGTCTTTCCTAAGGGGAAAATGATGGTGATGGTGATTGAATTATTTCAAGTTAACTAACTTTTGACCTCAGCCATCTTAATATTTCCATAAAATTGTTTGTTTGGTTGCTGTTTTTTTAAATCTTGAGTTATCTTTGTGGCTTGTAAGCTTCTTGTAGTTTCATTTGCAAGCAGAATTTGCTCTAAGTTGGATTTGGAGCAAAATGACTTGTGATAGCAAGTTCATAGGGTAATGTATGTTGCTTTAATGATCTGTTTATTTTGTGTAATATATGTTGAGTATTTCCAGATACTATATTATTCATATGCAATTCTTTGCATGTACATAAACTTTATCATGGAAGAGACTACCTCCTAGAAAAGAGGAATAATATGTATTGTTTCAGTTACAGTTGTTGTTACCAAATTATTCACAGTACTTTCAAATCTGGAGGCTTCATTTATTACCTTGTATCTTCTTCAAATGCAAAAGTTTACTAATAGTAAAATGCCACTCCTCAAATGATCTCCCTAATGTCTTTCACACTTCTTAACTTTAACATATATTGTGCTTTCATTTTCATCAAGTTAAAAGTATTTCTAATTTTCCATGTAATTTCTTTTTGACTGATGGGTTATTAGAAGGGTATTTTCAAAGTTCCAAATATGTATTTGGAGATTGCCCACATTTCTTTCTGTTTTTGATTTTTAATTTAATTTACCTGTCAAAGGACATACTTTGCAGATTTCAATTTCAGAGTTTTATTGAGACCTGTTTTGTAGTCCAATATTTGGTCTGTCCTGGAGAATAGTCCACTTGTTCTTAAAGAGTAGGTATATTCTGCTGTTGTGGAGTGTTCTTAGATGTCAGATATGCCATGCTTGTTAATAGTTTTGTTTAAATCTTCTATACATTGCTACTGATATTCTATGTGGCTGTTCTGTCAATTATTGAGAGTAGGGTATTGGTGTCCTCAACTATTATTGTTGAATTGTGTATTTTTCCTTTCAAGTGTGTCAGTTTTGCTTCATGTTCTTTGGGATCTGTTGTTAAGTTTGTATACATTTATAATTGTTATATCATTGAAATGAATACAACTTTTATCATTATTAAATGTCCCTATTTTTTTCTGGTAATATTTTTGTGTTAGGGTCTTTTTTGCCTGGTATTGATGTAGACAATCTGCCCACATTTATTTACTGTTTTCATGGGCTGTCATTTAAAAAAACTCAGCCTGAAATTTTCTACCTTTTGATTGCAATGTTTAACTCATTCAAATTTAATTGTTATTTCTATGATTAGGTTCCTGTCTCTAATTTTGCTATTTGTTTTCACTGTCTCACATCTTTTAGTATTCCTCTCTTTCTCTTTGACTGCTTTCTTTTGTGTTGAAAAAATTGTATTACATATTTTAATTCTCTTTTGTTTCTTTTTTGAACCATATTTTTGAATTATCTTATTGATTGCTCTAAGGGTTAAGATATACATTTTAATTTATTACAATCTGTGCTGGATTACTAATTTACTTCCAGGAAAATATAAGAATCTAGATCCACTTGTCTTTCCTCCTGTGTGCTTTTTATGTGTAGTTTTATCATCATTATTATTTTTATAATGATCTTAAATCAGTCAAAAGGAAAATGATATTTAAAAAAGATGTACAGTTGACCTTTGAACAACACAGGTTTGAACTACATGGGTTCACTTATACATGGATTTTTTTTCAATAAATGTATTGGAAAATTTTTTTAAAAATTTGTGACAATTTGAAAAAGCTTGCAGATGAATAATGAAGCCTAGAAATATATCTATTTAAAAAATTATTGACTCTGCTTCAGCCTTCTCCCCCATCCTGATACTGAGGCTCTTTTGCCAACACTCTGCCTCTGTGTCTCTGGAATCCCCACCAGGCTCAGGACACCATCCCCAAGTTTCTAGTGCTACATCTGGACCCCAAGAACCCACCCCAGAGCCTGTACCTCTGCAAATAAAGAACCACTTTATTTGCTCCATAGTCCAATGACCCATTTGGGACCCTTAGTCTCAAAGCCCCAGATCACTGAGACCTTGGTTAGAGCAAAGGGGCACAGCCATGGTAACCCAGGAAATACACATCCAGCTGCTGCTGCTACTGCTGTTACTGGAGTGCCATCTAGTTACCTCCCCTTACTCAAACCAAGCAGGAGAGTTTCCAGCAAGAGAGTGAACTGGAACCCTCCAAACCTATTCTGAGCTGAGAAAAGAAATCACAGATGAGAAGAAACCAACAAAAGAACCCTGACAATGTGAAGAATCAGAACTGATCAACACTCCTAAGGGATCACAATGGGGCTAGAACAGAGAACTCAAGTATAAGGAAGTTGTGGAAATGACAGAAATGACATTCACAATATGAATGGCAAATAAGATGAATGAAATTGAAGCAAGAGTTGAAAACCAGCAAAATGAAGCCCCCAAAATATTTTAGGAAATTAATTAAAAAGTCACTAAAGAACTAGACAAAATTAGTAAAGATATTATGGAACTTAAAGAAATGAAAGAGTGATTTATGGAATTTCAAAACACAGTAGTAAGTTTCAGAAACAGATTAATGCAAGGCAAAGAAAGAATCTCAGAGCTTGAAAGCAAAGCTCTTAAGCTAATTCAATCATTTAAAGAGGCAGAGAAGAACAAAGGCCAAGCAGTAACTTAGAGAGAATTGGGACTAAATTTAGAGATCATACATGGTACCACTCATAGTCAATAGAAATATAAAAGCATGTAAAGATGCTATCAGAACTGTATAAAATTAACTGTAGTAAAACTGTGCTACTATAATAATTTTGTGGTTACCTGTTGGTATTGCAATGCATTCAAGAGTGAGAGTATCTACTTAAAATGCTCTATGAGCCTAATCATCTTGTGAGCAGTTCATCTCCTTAGTAAATTGCTTATTGCAGTAAAAAGTGATCACTATTGGTTCTTGCATATTTTTCAGTGCAACACCATACACCTTGAATAAAACCATGGGACTCAGGGGAAGTATACCTAGTGATGCTGGACATGATCTCAAGAAATAGAGAAAAGTCATGACATTATGAGAAAAACTAGAAATGCTTGATGTGTACCATAGATTGAGGCCTGCAGCTATAGCTGTTCCCCGTTGATTCATCTTGTAAACAGGCAACATCAACTGATGGAATTGATAAATATAGTATAGTACTGTACTTTGTTACGATTCTTGATAACATTTTATTTCCTAGCTTACTTTATTGTAAGCACACAGTATATAATACATAAAACCTGCAACATGTTAATTGACTATATTATTGGTAAAACTTCTGGTCAGTAGTAAGCTATTATTTGTTAAGTATTTGGGGAATCAAAAGTTATACATAGATTTTTGACCATGGGGTTTGGTACCACTAACCCCTGTGTTGCTCAAGGATCAGTTGTGTATACACACACACACACACACACAATTTTTACCAGTTCTTTCATTTTATAGAGTTAAGTTGCCATATGGTGTTAGCCTGAAGAATTTCCTTTAGTCTACTTTCTGAAGAAGGTCTGATAGCAACAAATTCTGTCTTTGTTTATGTGTGAATGCCTTTATTTTGTCTTCATTTTCAGAGTATAGTTTTGCTTGACCCATGTAGAATTCTTGGTAGGCCTTTTCTTTCAGCAGTCCAAATCTACCGTTCTACTGCCTTTGGGTCTCCTTTGTCTTTTATGAGAAGTCAGCTGTTAATTATGTTGTTTTTCCTTTTGCATACTGAGTGATTTTTCTGTTGCTGTTTTTGAGAATTTACTTTGTTCTTCAATTGTTTTAATGTAATGCATCTAGATGTGGATCTTTTTGTGTTTATCATAAAAAAGGGTAGCTTTTCATATCTTTAGATTAATTTTTAAATCAAATTTGGGTAGTTTTTGGTTATCTCTTTGTACATATTATTTTTTCCTCTTATTTTTTATATTATTCTCTTTTTATGAGACTCTCATTACAGCATGTTTGTTTGCATCATTGTGTCCTACAGATTTTGATACCTTATATTTGATTCATTAATCTTCATTCTTTTTTCTTCTGTGTTCTTCAGAGTTGATGATTTTTATCTAGTTTCATTTACCTATTTTCAGTGAATTCTTTATGTCATTGTAAATATTCTGTTGTGTTCCTCTAATAGTTTTTTATTTTACTCATATTTTCAATTCCAGAATTTCCATTCTGTTGTCTTAAAAACAGTTTTTAGCTTTTGTGATAGTCTTACTGCACTTCTGTCACCATTTTCGAATTCTTTAAGCATGTTTTCTTTTAGTTTTCTGACTGTATTTAAAATTTTGCTTTGAAGTCTTTCCTTAAGTTCATCACCTAAGCCCTCCCTCACAGTTAATTTCTGCTAACTGCTTTTTCCCCAAAGTATGGGTCACATTTTCCTTTATTTTTTATTTTTGGCATATCTTGTAATTTTTGGTCAAAACTGGAAATTTTAAGTAATATATTTTAGCAAGTCTAGGTGCTGATTCATTTCTCTGGAAAGTTTTTGATGTTATTTATATGAAATTATCATGAAATATCTTTCTTTGACTCTTGAAACAATTTTTGTCTTAAAGTCAATTTTGTCTGATATTAGCATAGTCACTTTAGCTCTTTTTGGTAGGGTAGGGGGGCTTACTGTTTATATGGTACATCTTTTTCCATTCTCTTACTTTCAACTTATTTGTGTCCTTGAATCTCCTGTAGACTGCATACAGTCGTATTGCATTAAAAAAATCCATTCAGCTTATATCTGTCTTTTAATTGTTATGTTTATTCCATTTATATTTAATGTAAATACTGAGAAGATTGACATTTTCCTATTCATTTTTTATTTATGACCGTCTCTTTCTCTGATCTTTCTATTAAGGTGTCTGTCTCTATTTATATGACACACAGCTTTTAGGCTTCAATAAT